ACATGCCCTGGAGTCCATCCGCAGTCCCTCCCCAGCCCTGATCGTGCACCAGTGGGGTCCCTCGGCCTGGCCTGCACCCTCTCGCAATCTGCAGGCCAGGCCGAAACTGTGGGCCTCTAGTATGAAAGTAAGAACCAGAAGGCATCCTATATTAAGAGTTTGACTAAAGGTCCCTTTTTGAATTAAGAAAAAAATCAGAATTCAGTAACATGAACTCACCGACTCAAATCTGTCCCGGGCACATACTGAGAGAAGCGAGAATGAAGTAGAGGGAGCAGTCTCAGGTCACACCATCGCTTTTCCCATCTCAAGCCTGGAGAAGTTGGCCATGAAGAACATGATAAGGTGTCCTGAAAAGAATTCCAACATTCACTAGTGTCTTTTTTTTTTTTTCTTTCTGTGCTTTGAGTTTCTATTTCAAAAATCCTTTGGAGGGATATATTTTCCCCTAAATAATCAGAAGGTATTTACAGATTACCACAAGGAGAAGTCCATATTAATTAACAATGAAATTATATTCGTTAACTTCTTTATGAATGGAATTCTAACAGAAAATGCAGGAGTACATCACTGAGATTAAGGATGGTAGAAAAACATGCCAAAAATGGGGATGGAGATGGAAGAAAAAATAAATGTGTGACAAAACTGAATTCATCCACAAATGGGAAAGACAGGGCAAAACTATAATGGCAATGAACTCATAAGTGACAAATAAAAATAAGTTGTCCTTAGTTCAATTAGCCAGTATTTTCTGAGTATCTGCTAAGCACAGAACACTTATAAGAGCCTGTGATTTATTAGTCGCTGGCAAATATTTTTGCGTATAATAAATTTTCTTATCAAACAACTTTTAAAAACTACTCAAAGAAATACTTGTCCATCATTTTAACTTCATGTTTATAAAATGTTTGTATTTTCTTGTATTTAATGTCATGTTAATCAAATACTGCTGATGTAAAATCACATGTATTTTATTTTTCATTAGAAGTTTGGATTTTTTTTCTTATGTATAGAGGAGATGATATGAATATAATGGAGCTTTCCATTTAATCTTGAATTATGCTTTTATCATTATATGCGCTTCATTGTTAAATTTTCTTTGTGGCAGTAGCACGTGGTGTAATGTTGACATTGAAGTTGTCATGGGTTGTAAGAGGCCAAGGCTTAATTTGAAGAGGGGACTGTTGATACTGATTTCTCTATAATTTCTGAATGACAGTGTTAGAAAGAGGTTCTATTTTAGTCACCTTTTCTTTTGGATAATAATTTATTTAAAAATGCTTAGGAAATTGAAAAAAAATGTCCACCGCACCATTATCATTAAAGGTTGAATTATTCTTGGCATTATTATGTTAATGGACAGCGATTGTGTACGTACAAATCTACTACATCCTTAAAAGAGTTGAGAACACTCAGAAGGGTGAAGTGGCTAAGACCCCTCAGTGAGAGGCCCCCTTCGGTCAGTGAACACTTCGGTGTAAGACACCTGTCTTTTGATGCAAGACAGATGCTCTTAAAGCTTATCTGGCGACTGCAAAAACACAAACATGGGTTTCATACGAATCTTTCTCCTGGTCTTCATGTACGATATGGTAGGTGGTCAGCATGGGGTCATTTGGGTGGCAGTACAACAAGGGGAAGAGGATTTAGGCTTCAAATCAGAATCAGACCACCTGGTTTCAAAATCCCAATTTCCTAACTGACTCGTCCTTTAACCTACGAGAAAATTATGTAAATTATCTGTATCTTATTGTACTTATTTCCAAAGATAAAGCTATCACAAGACTCCTCTTACAAAACAAACAAACAAAACTAAAGCTTTTTTAGATGCATTAGAGCAGTGGTTCTCAACCTGTGGGTCGCGACCCCTTTGGGAGTCAAACGACCCTTTCACAGGGGTCGCCTAAGACCATCGGGAAACACATATATAATTACATATTGTTTTTGTGATTAATCACTATGCTTTCATTATGTTCAATTTGTAACAATGCAATTGGGGGTCACCACAACATGAGGAACTGTATTAAAGGGTGGCGGCATGAGGAAGGTTGAGAACCGCTGACTTAGAGCATTGTTTCCCTACCTTTCCAGGAGAAGCACCTATACGTCTTCTAGCCCAATATGTGGAATTCTATATAATAAAAGGCTAATATGCAAATCGACTGAATGGTGGAACGACCATTCGCTATGATGTGCACTGCCC